TCTCTCTCTCTCTCTCTCTCTTCTCTCTCTCTCTCTATATATATATATATATATATATATATATATATATATTTCTCTGTGTCTCTTCTCCTTCATGGCTGAGTGCTTTGGTCCAGGCTCAGGAGGCAGAGGCGGCTGTGTACGCGGGCCCAGCCTGGCCCGGCCTGCCCAGCGTCAGGCTAAGTGCCTCTGACAGCCCACCGCACAGTTATTAACTGTGATCCGCCACCACAGGGCCTGGGCAACCCCGCGCTGAGGGGAGGGTCCACCAGAGGGCTCTGCTCTAAACACAAAGACCGCTTTCACCTCACTTTGCAGTCTCCACCATGTACCCCCCCACGCCCACTAATACATATTTACATCATCTCAACATACTGTGCACACAGTTTTTCTAATATGCCCCTATTCATGTGGGCCTGGAACTGCTGGGAAGCTTCTCTGCCAACCGTCCAAACCCCTGACACTGATGGGCAGAATAAAAATGCTTTTGTAAAGGACAACTGTGAAGGTGGTTCTCTTATGAAGGATTACTGGTAAGGGGGTGGGGGGCATATACATATACAGACTGCAGTAACATACATACACACCAAGGCATGTACGCCGCTGCTTCGTCGGCTTTATGTTGCCTCTGGAATGCTGTCCATAGACTTGTGGCTTTCATCCATATAGGTGGTCTGCGGCACTGTTTGTCCTGTGCTCGCCCTCCACTATCCCAGCCACCCCTTTTTTCTTCCTCAGGATGTGGGAGACCGGAGAGCCATCAGCCCCTTCAAACAACAACACAACACGGGTCATTAGATGACAAAATTGGGAGAGAAATAAATAAATGTCAGCGAGGGGGAGGACAGAGAGAGAGAGACAGAAGAGGAGAGAGAGTGAGATCCATAATGACAGTTGACTATGTTTAGCCCCCAGAAAGGCATTGGGATAAACAGCAGCTCGTCCTGGCTAACAGGAGGGCTTTAAGTCGCTGAATTGAAAACCCCCAAAGCCACTTTTTCCTGCCCACATTTGCCATAATGAGAGCCCCGCCATTCAATTGTTGAATAGTTGAGGCTTTTCCCTTTGAGGTGACTGGCTTTAATATAGCAACACGACATACACAGTGGAGCAATGGACGTCCCCAACAGTGTTCAAAGCCGTGGTGGGATAAGGACACGGCTGACATGCATTATTCCTTACAAAAGCTGCCCTTTGTTTGCTTTATGCTCAAATCCCACAAATTGCAGGCTTTGTCCGTCAACATTTCTTATTTCAGGCAGAGTCCTTTTTTCTCCACTGCTCAAGCCCCCCCTCCTTCTCGCTCTCCTGCTGTCCTCCCTGGCCTTGGCATGTGTTGGTGCTTAATGCCACCGATAACTACACACACACATTGTAAACAGTCAGGTTAGTTTTTTTGTTGACTGTCAGATTCATCCTCCCTGCAGAGAGGTAAAATTCAACCCAGATTTTTATGAACTTCGTGAAGGTGACATTTCCAATTTCATATCTCTCTATGAAAGGTCTCAATTTCATTACAGGAGCTTGTTCTCTGAGTTCTACTTTTTCTGGAATTCTCTTTTAAAATCTATTCATCATTTAATATCTGGTTGATTATATCACCAATACAAGTGAAAATAAGCTGCTAACTTCTGCATCACTCATTGTCTTTGTAGTAAGAATATCTCATCATTAAAGCTGCAGTAGGTAACTTATTATTATTATTATCAAAAAATAACTTTTTGTCATATTTTTGCAGAAACTTATACTATATCCTGACAGTAGTACATAGAGACAGATAATCAGGTTCCTCTGGCTCCT